GATTACGTTTTCCATTTTAAATGGTCATTGATTGTTCAATGCAATGAAAATTCACGCAGGTCGACAAATTATTCATAGAATCTCAAATAATAATGAATTATTCGAACCACTTAATAATTTACTTCCAATTGACTTTTACGATTCACCAAAGGTCTCGGGTAAATTCATTAATTTTTTTCCCAATCACTCGTCGATTTCTTCTTCTTCCTCTTTTCTTCACTTTGTTCTTTGTTCCTTGCCTATGAATTTTCCAACTCGTGGAGTACTTGGGTAGGAAAGACTTTATTGCGCATTTCGGGAGGAAGTTTAGAGGCCACTCGGAGACCCCCTCACAGGTTGCCCCAGCAACCGAGAGAAATACGAGCAACTCCTGCTTTGAAAACAGCTTTTTCCCTCCCTTTTTCATCCCCTATAACTCTCCCTCGTCTGATTATATCGGTATATACTTTTTTCATTGGATTTTTTTTTTATTATTTTTTCTTCCACTGCAATTTTTACGCAAGTCCTTTGATTAAACGCGAATAATTGGAGTAATCCAATTGTTGATTGGGGAATTAGTGTCGGATTAATTTTTTTTTGGGGGTGGTGAAGAAATTCGGGGGTGTTGTCGGGAAATGCGAGATTGGGGGGGTAATTGAGTGTAGAGTGGGAAGAAAATGAATGGGGGAGTCGCAGGATTTAGGGGGCAATATGATTGCTAATGAGTTTAATGACAACCGGAGATTGATGGAATTCGGGAAATGAAAATGAAATTTTTATCGATCCGTAATTGGAAAAAAAAAATAATATTGGTAGTTAATAATAATAATTGATTGAAAAAGATGAGGGAGAAGTGGAATAAATATATTATTGTATCACACCGGGTGATGAGTAATAGCAATGAAAATTTCAAAGATTTTTCCGAAATAGTTGATTGTCAAGACAAATATACAACTACAGCCCATTAAGATGACTTATGGCACATGAAATGATCTCGCGACAAGTTTGCGCCCTCCCTCAGACAAATTTAATCTCAATTCCGTGTCTTGAATAGTATTTTAAATAGTCGGTGAATTTCCACTCGCATCTGTGTGGGCGATATTCAACAAAGTTGATACTAAATTACAATGGAAAAATTTTGCCAACGGGAATTTTCATCAAATTTCTCCTCCATCAGCACTCAAAATGCTATTTATCGTGCCACCATTATTCCTCATATATTTAGGGACTCTAGAATTCTGGGCGATATTCCAGTGTGCAAAACTCAAGATCGGTCTTGCGGATAATTTTCCCTTTGCGAGATAATTCGGGCTTGAAATGACAACGGTCGTCATCAATATCGCAATTCATGTTCTAGTTTCTTTATTTATTTTTTTTTCCATTCTCTCTCTCTCTCTCACGTGTCCAAAAATAACGAGTCGTTCTCTGTGCGCGAGGTCATATCCACTGAGTGGCAGCAAATTGCAAAGGTGAGAGGGGTCGGGATGGGAGGGGTATGAATCAAATAAAATGTATAAACCTCTCGTTCTAATCTGCAACTAGTGCCAAATAAAATGCCGTATCCGTATTTAAAGATAAACCGTAAACGATAGCTTGAGCAGGTGTTGAAACTCGAATTCCACTGATTTCGTTAATCAGTTCTTCTCCATTTGATTTTGGCTGCGATCTCGGAATCGTTGATCTTTTCAACGCGTGTTTTAGTGGTGAGAATTTTTGGAGGATGGGGAATTGGGGAGACCCGGGGAAAAAAAAATGTAATGGAATATTTTTTCCAAATTTTTAAAAAATTTCTGAAGGAATTTTCAGAATTTTTTTTTATGCAGCAGGAAAAAAATCGGAGAACAAAACAATTTTATTTTTGGGAAAGGTTTTGAAAAATTTTTCAAAAATTTAAATAGGAAATTTTATTTTGTAATTTGGATGGCGTATTTTTTGAGAATATTGAAAAATTAAAAAAGCAAGAAAATAAAAGTATAATTAAAAAAAAAATTATATTTGCAAAAATTTCTGGAAAATTATTTTAAATAATTTCCGCAATAAATTTTCAAAACATTTTCCATAAATACGATTGCTTTGTTTACCGATATTTTTTGGATGAAAAAAAAATTTTTTGACAAGTTTTCTAGAAATTTTTTGAAAATTTGGAAAAAATATTCCAATTACAATTTTTTTTTACCCGGGGAGTTGTGGCTTAGGTGAATTTTATTTGAGATGAAAAATTTGTGGAAAAATGAAAAATTTGTTTCTCTGGTTTTTGGGGAATTCCAATTTTCCCGGAAGATATGTAAACAATTATTTTGATTGGGAAATCGTTAACTTGAAAATTGAGGATGATTGGGAAAAGTATTTGCAATGATTCGATTGATTAAATCGGATGATTATTAAACAAGTTAGCATACTGTTGCGAATGAATTTCAAAGTCGGAAAATGCGGGGCGAACTAGTCCCTTTTCATCATGGATATCTCTCAATCGACTGAAGAATGTTTGCAGAAATTTTCACCATTTGAAAAGTTTTTCTCAGCTTTTCAATGGCATTAACTTTTTTCAATTATCTCTGGTAGCTTCGACGATATTGAGCATTCAGAGAGATGGGCTCTATTCGCTTGCTCGCTCCGCAAATATTGAGCGATTGTTACTTTGTTAATTTGCAATTGGACGAAATAATGAGACTTTGTACGGGATAATTGAAATTTTCCGATGGAATATGAGAGGGCACTCGCTTGAAATCCTCGGTAAAGCGGCTGTCACAATGTACGTTGTGATTAAGTTTATTTTCTGGT